CACACACATACACACACACACACACACACACACACACACACATGTGCACGCCCTCCTTCCCCCTCCACACACACACATTCATGTCCACACACTGATCATTTACTCTCGCTGCTCTTTCGTCTTTGCGTGTACACCACAGCATGCACGGCTGGTGTGACGACATTCGACAATGGCTGGCAGAACTACACCCAGCTGACTAACGGAACTCTGCTCTATACACGCAGGACTGGTGGCACTCCATCATCCGGTACAGGTCCACCTGGTGACCACACGTCCGGTAAGGCCAGATCACGGGACAAACACAACTATTGAATTCTCCAGAGTATAAGCTGCATTGGAGTATAAGCTGCATTGGAGTATAAACCGCACTGGAGTATAAGCCACATAGGAGTATAAGCCACACTGGAGTATAAGCCACACTGGAGTATAAGCCGCACTGGAGTATAAGCCACACTGGAGTATAAGCTGCATATAATAGAGTGGTTTCACATCGTTGAGTCATGTGACTAAACTTGTGCAGAAAGTGATCATGTCATGTGACCAGTGGGACCAACATGGCCGGCGTCATGTGACACATAGATGCAGGGTTTTGTGTGGTGTTGGAACCAACATGGCTGTCCTGTATGGTCATGTGATAGCTGTGAAACCACTGTCTAGACTGATGGAACGCTGTGGCCTCCGGTGTTTTTTTGTTTTTGTTTTTGACTACTAACACAGCCCTACTGGAAAACAGGTGGGGAACAAAAAGAAACGAGGAAAAGGACAAAACAAAGGTTCTGCTCTGTTCTGCTGTGTTCTGCTGTGTTCTGCTGTGCTCATAGGCTCCGGCTACTACCTGTACATTGAGGTGAGTAGCGGGCGGAGGGGAACTGCCACTCTGCTCTCGCCGTGGTACGTGGCCGTCAACAGCCTCTGCACAGTGTCCTTCTGGTAAGTGTCCCGCTGCTGCACAGTGTCCTTCTGGTAAGTGTCCCGCTGCTGCACAGTGTCCTTCTCGTAAGTGTCCTTCTGCACAGTGTCCTGCCGCTTCACCAACATATTGTGTCATCTCCGATTCTCTGTCATACGTGTAGGATGGCTGGTGCTCGTCTTCATGGTCATTATCTGCATGCTGAATCCAGCCCCCCCCCCACCCCCCGTGCCCCTGCAGGCTGCGCGCCTGATTCCCTAGCAGCACACACACACACAGGCGCGTACACACACACACACACACACCACTCTGCGTACTCGAGCGAGTGGAGTGTCGATTCTCACCCACCATCATAATCTAAAGCGTTTCTTTTCCGAATTTTCTGCACGCTCAGGTATCACATGCAAGGTACTGCCACGGGCACACTGAACGTCTACGAAGAAGCTCCAGGCATCACTTACAGCCTCTTCTCCAAGAGAGGTAGCCAGGGAGCAAGCTGGATACAGGCCTCCGCCACGCTGAGCACTCCGCTGAACAGTCGCTTCCGCGTAAGTGTGTGTGGGGGGGGTGTAAGTGTGTGTAAATGTGTGTGTGTGTGGGGGGGGGGGGGTGCATGCGCGTGTATGTGTGTGTGGTTGTGTGTGTGTGTGTGTGTGTGTGTGTGTGTGTGTGTGTGTGTGTGTGTGTGTGTGTGTGTGTGTGTGTGTGTGTGTGTGTGAGTGTTCAATAGAGCCCAATGAGCAGTCTCCGGTACAAATGCAAGACGCAGTAGAAGCAACGATGTGCTGACCACTCCGAAAATCAATCCCAACCGAAATTTTCCGGTTTTACATTACAGGTGCGTTATCCTGGGCTTTGTGCGTATGTTTGTTCGCTGTCATTGTGTTTAGTTGGTGTTCCAGGCAACGCATCTCTCTAGCGGCTTCACCGGTGATATTGCCCTGGACGACATCGCCTTTGACAACAAGAAGTGTTGCGAAGGTAGGACCGCGTACCGCATTTCCCACGAGTATAAGTTGTACTCGATTTAATATAAGTCGCACCCCCATTTTCAGGTTTGAGCCAAATTGTTGTGACATAATTATTCACTTCAGTAGTACAGTCAAATCCCGCCAGAGCGCCCCTACCTCCGCCACCCTTCGAGTAGGTCCAGGTGGGGGAGGGGCAGATGAGCGAGTCCTACTCGCCGCATTCGGTACTGCATGAAAAAGTATTGGCCCTACGAAAACTGTGCGTGCATCTCGTACACCGATCAACGGTCAAGAGCAGGGAATCATACAGACCTGTCAAAACCCAGGATTTGTGAGATCCCTGATCAAGAGGGTGTGACCTGCTGCGTACATTTCCAACCGGGTCGAGCACGGTACGGCATCACACTTCACAGAGCCATACGATGATTCTCACTTCCCTGACAAGAAGTCAGAGAGGGGCGCATAGGAGAGACGGGGCGCTCTGGCTTTATTTTACGGTACTAGCAAGTCATGCTCTGATTGTAAGTCGCACCCTATTTTTATTCTTGAAATTTAGTGTAAAGAAGGTGCGACTTTTATTCGGGGAGTCACTGTTTCTTACGTGGCTCGGTACTGTGGCGTTTGGCACGGCCTCCGCGCACCTCTCATCTGCTATTTTCAGTCCATTCATCCGAAACTGGCGTCCTAACTGTTTGATGTATCCCGTCTCGCGTACAGAGTCTGGGTAGAACGCCCGCAGGGGTAGAACTCCCCCAGGGGTAGAACTCACCCAGGGGTAGAACTCCCCCAGGGGTAGAACTTTCCCCGGGTAGACCACCCCAGGGGTAGAACACCCACAGGAGTAGAACTCCCCCAGGGGTAGAACTTCCCCAGGGGTAGAACTTTCCCTGGGGTAGACCACCCCCAGGGGTAGAACTACCCCAGGAGTAGAACTCCCCCAGGAGTAGAACTTCCCCAGGGTAGAACTCCCCCAGGGGTAGAACTCCCCCAGGGGTAGAACTCTCCCAGGGGTAGAACTCCCCCAGGGGTAGAACTCCCCAGGAGTAGAACTCCCCAGGGGTAGAACACCCCCAGGTCTGAGTGGGACCCCAGCTCGACTGCTGTATTGTTTTTTCTTTCTTTTCTTTTCTCTCCTATAGTGTGCTCTTTCCAGAGAGCAGCCGTCAATTTCGATTCAGGCCTGCAAGGCTTCGTTCAGGACAGGACGGATAACTTTGATTGGACCCGGGACAACGCCGGCACACCGTCGTTCAACACCGGGCCCACTAACGACCACACTCTGGGAACTGCTGCAGGTGAGAACAGGGTCGCGTATGCCAGCATACTTGCCAACCACATCGTTGGCACATCGCCCCCTACTCCCCTTTGTCTTGTCTTGTATTTATTTAAACAGGATTATCCAAAATGAACTAGCAACCAATCACCGGAGAAAACCTTTTTGGAGACACCAAATCGTTCCTTGATCATGTTTGTATGACTACAATGTACATGCATGACATCATAGAATGACTGAGCACTTTATCTTATTCATAGTTTCAATTATCAGACAACGTTCATTGGTTCGAGGCAACAGCTAATGTATTCGGGGCAGGTCGCCGCAGCTCGAACTCGTCTGGCTTTCGTTTTGCTGTTGTCGTCGTCGTTGTCGTTTCTCTCCCGCAGGCTACTACATGTACACGGAGACGTCCGGCCGGCCCGTCAACCAGGTCGCCAGGCTGATCTCGCCGCGCTACGGCCCGCCCGACCAGGCCGGCTGCGCCGTCACCTTCTGGTACAACATGTTCGGCGCGGCCATGGGAACGCTGCGCGTCAAGGCCGTGCCCGTCCTGACCAACTTCAGCGTCACCGAGCAGGTGCTGTGGACGCTGTCCGGCAACCAGGGGGCCGGCTGGAAGAAGGCCACCACCAAACCTATCACCATGTATACCGCTTACAATGTAAGTTTATTTTATTCCCCCCCCCCCCCCCGTGGCTGGCTATAAAAACCCTGCAATCGCCACGCAAAGTGGTCATTGGCTACCCCAGCCATGTATTGCTTGGAATAAAATAAAAAAACATTCCCGTAGCCGTGCAAAAGACGTTACTTCAGTAACGTCTGGTGCTAGCCAGGGTCCACACCGCTGTATTTTTTCTCCTTTTTAGTTTTTATCCATAGCATCCTGATGATGGCAATTTGCCGAAACGCCGAAAATAATTCTGTGAAATGAGTTGTGGACTTGCAATGCCCAGGGAAAGAGCTTGTGTGCTCGCCACTTCTATTTTTTTATACATGATACAACATTGAAAAAAGCAAAGCAAAGACGATGATACTTATTGTGCAACTATTATTAAACTCGTAAAACAAGCATCATGCAAGCTGTCTATTCAATATGCACTTCCGCCACTCCAAGTGCGGCGGACTGATCATTCGAACCCACACTGGGGTGGCCATGCAGCGCGAGTTGCTTCCGACTCACGGTTCGTGGTGTGTGTGTGTGTGCACGTTTACTTGTTTGTCTGAGCAGACACTACTTATAAAGTACAGCGTGGCCTCGCTATCTGACTCCCTCGTTAATGACTTTGTAATTGTGCCTTATTGTTTTTTGTTTTTTTTGCTTTAAATTTGTCTTTTATTCTTTTGTGAATGCACAGCTCGTAATTGAGGGTGTCGTGGGTACTTCGTTCACCAGCGACATGGCAATTGATGACATCTCTATGCCCAAGACCTGTTGCAAAGGTGTGATGATCCTGGCATGGCATTACATAGACACAGAGACAGAGACAGACACAGACGCAGACAGAGAGAGACAGTGGAGAGACAGTGGAGAGACAGAGGCTCTGATGCATTGTTTGGTCCGGTATATTATTACAGTCCGGACCCAGGTTATGCAAACCCTGCCTTTCAGAACCTTGTCACCCTGGGTTATCCAAGCCCCGGGTTTCCAAACCCTGGGTTATTCGAGCTCAGGGTTATCCGAGCCCAGGGTTTTCCGAGCCCAGGGTTATCCGAGCCCAGGGCTATCCGAGCCCCAGCTTATCCGAGCCCAGGGTTATCCGAGCCCAGGGTTATCCGAACCCCGGGTTTCCAAACCCCGGCTTAACCGAGCCCAGGGTTATCCAAGCCCCGGGTTTCCAAACCCCGGCTTATCCGAGGTACTGATGTAGTTGTGCGTGTTTTGTTCTGTTATTTTCTGTTGTCCAGTGTCTGTTATTACTTGTAGTTCGACTGAGTGGCGGTGCGCTAACCTGGTCAACTGTATTCCTCTCACGTCTCGCTGCGATCTGAAGAACGACTGTCCGGATAATAGCGACGAAGTCAACTGCAGTAAGTCACCACTCCGCTGCTGCATGGTGTTATACCGGACGTACCTCTCTCTCCCATAAACACGCACTCACGCACGCACGCATGCACACACGCACGCATCCATGCACACACACACACATGCACACACACACACACACACACACACACACACACACACACACACACACACATGCACACTGACGTTACTGGCGCATGAACAGTACAACCGTATTCTCCAGAGTACATGTGTACGACACACTGGAGTATAAGCCGTACCCTGATTTTTGACACACGGATATCTACCCTGTATTTGACGATTTATTTGACAATCGTAGTATAAGCCGCACTGACTTTTTCTGGGTGAATCCCGAGTGTTTAAAGTGCGGCTCCGGAAAAGACACTAGTTTACTCACTGCTGCAGGTTTACCGGAAAACGTTCACAGCATTCTGCCACTGTTGTTGACTGCGGCCTTTCGGTACTTTTCTGTGTGCACGTGCGTGCGCGTGTGTGTGTGTGTGTGTGTGCGTGCGTGCGTGCGTGCGTGCGTGCGTGCGTGTGTGCGTGTGTTCAGCTTGTGCTAGCGGAGTTGCTGGCATTGCTCCATTTGACTTTGAGACCGGCAACATGGGATTTCTGCAGCTGAACTCTTCATTTGATAACTTTGATTGGACACGCACGCGTGGCTCCACTACGTCCGGCTCCACCGGTCCCACAACCGATCACACCTTGAAAAGCACTCTGGGTAGGTACTGTTGTTGTCAGTACTGCTGTTGCTGCTGTTGTGTGCTGCTGTTGTGTGCTGCTGTTGTGTGCTGCTATTGTGTGCTGCTGTTGTGTGTTGCTGTTGTGTGTTGCTGCTGCTGTTGTGTGCTGCTTCTGGTGCTGCTGTTGTGTGCTGCCATTGTGTGCTGCTGTTGTGTGTTGCTGCTGCTGTTGCTGCTGCTGCTGATTCTGCTGCGGCTGTTGTGTGTTGTTTCTGGGGCTACTGCGACCGCGACTTTCTGTTTGTGCTGTTGCTGCTGCTGCTGCTGTTGCTGCTGCTGCTGTTGCTGGTGCTGCTGTTGGTGTTGCTTCACTGCTGCAGAAAAGCTGTGTTAGCACGAGCACCATTATGTGAACTTCCCGCCTTTAGTGGCCGGGGAATGTGTCTAACGATTCCCAAATTAGCTGGAAATACTGAGCCACCCTAGTAAACATTCCTTACTCTGTGTTGCTGGGAATCTTTTCTCTTGGCCTCTAGGGATGTCAGGCAGTTCAGACGTTGCTGTTACAGGTATATGCTGATACCAATGTGTGTGTGTGTGTGTGCGTGCGTGCGTGCACGCGTGCGTGTGTGTGCGCGTGGGAGGGGGGTGCATGCGTGCGTGTGTGCGTGTGCATGCGTGTGTGTGCATGTGTATGCGTGTGTTCATGTCTGTTTGTGTGTTCAGGCTACTACTACTACATCGAGACGTCTTCCCCACGTAGTAACGGCGACAATGCCATTATGGTTTCTCCATGGATTCTGCCCATCAGTCCCGTCGGTGCAAGACCATGCACTATGGATATTTGGTAAGTAGTGGGGCTGAGGAGCCTTGTTGCTTTCTGCTACGATATCTTACTAAGAAAGAGCCTTATGGCTGTCTACTACGCTATCTTAAAGGAGCCATGTTGCTATCTGCAACGATATCTTAAAAGAGCCTTGTTGCTGTCTGCAACGATATCTTCAAGGAGCTTTGTTGCTGTCTGCAACGATATCTTAAAGGAGCCTTGTTGCTGTCTGCAACGATATCTTAAAGGAGCCTTGTTGCTGTCTGCAACGATATCTTAAAGGAGCCTTGTTGCTGTCTGCAACGATATCTTAAAGGAGCCTTGTTGCTGTCTGCAACGATATCTTAAAGGAGCCTTGTTGCTGTCTGCCATGATATCTTAACCAGTTTATAATGCATAGAAACTACACGCCCTCCGTGTTGATCGTATGGCGCAGAGTGTAACATGACTGGAAGTAGAATGCATCAAAAACCGTTCTTGTTAATACAATAATTATGTGATTATCTAAAGCTTAACCGATGGAACGTATGCATCAACTTCCCCGCATATTTAAATAGGTTTTTGCGGGGCAAGTCCACTACAAGCGCACACACCTTGGTACCAGCTCTGCATAGAATGTCATGAACTAAGTATACAATAAAACCTGTCAAGGCCACCACTCGGAGAAGGCGACCATCTGTCCTAGAAGACCACTGAAACCAGGACCCAAGGGATGCTCTTTCCAGTCTAATGACCCTGGATAAGGAGACCACCTGGTAACAGAGACCACCTTGTGAAGGTCCCTTGAGCGGTCGTCTTAGACAGGTTTCACTGTATACGAAGTGAGCACTGAGAGAAGTCAGAAGGAAAAAAAGACTGAACACTCTCGTAGAAAGGAAGTGCACTAGGAGAGGTGGCATCCTCACCTTCTCTGCGCTGCTGTGGTCTTTATTTTACCGGAGGATGCACCCAGTGTGCTGACAGTGCTCAGCACCGCGGAGGCAGAGGTGTGGTCTATATTTTATAAAGTTTTGATTTGAAGTTTTTTTGGCTTTCGTTTGAAAATCTTTTTAATGCACATGCATTTTCCTGATCTCTTCTTCAGTGTATGTTGTATTGCATTTTAATCCGTTGTGTTAATTTGTGGCCGTAAAAGAGTTTTTTTGTTGTGTGTTCCTCAGGCTCCACATGTACGGCGCCACAATCAACCAATTTAACATGTACATTCAGGTTCCTGGAGGTGCGTTGAATGCTACAAGTCTGTTGAGTATGAGTGGCAACCAAGGAAACCTCTGGTTTAAGAGAACCGTCACGATCCCAGCGACCATCAAGACCAACTTCAGGGTACGCTCTCAACGTGTGCGTGTGGGCGTGCGTGTGTGTGTGTGCGTGTGCGTGTGTGTGTGTGTGCACGTGTGCATGTGCGTGTGTGGGTGCGTGAGTGTGTGTCTGTCTGCTGTTCGTCTCTTTGTCTACGTGGCTCCAGCATGGGCAGATTGAGTTTAGCAGCAGGGATGATGATGATGTTGTTGTTGTTGTTGTTGTTGTTGTTGTTGTTGTTGTTGTTGTTTGTAGATTGTCCTCCAAGGCACGCGTGGCGGTAGCTTCACGGGTGATATCGCCATCGACGACATCACCTTCTCCTGGACATGCTGCTCCAGTAAGCCCCTCCCACCCTGTTACCTTGGAGACCCCACCCTGTTACCTTGGAGACCCCACCATGTTACCTTGGAGACCCATCATGTTACCTTGGAGACCCCACCCTGTTACCTTGGAGACCCACCCTGTTACCTTGGAGACCCCACCCTGTTACCTTGGAGACCCACCATATTACCTTGGAGATCCCATCATGTTACCTTGGTAACCCCACCCTGTTACCTTGGAGATACCACCATGTTGCCTTGGAGACCCCTCCCCGTCACCCTGGAAACCAGTGCATTCTTTTGCGTGGCATGACTGTCGGAATATTCAAGTTACTGTGCTCGGAAAGACGCAAGTTTTTAACTCTGTTCGTCGGAATAGTAAAGCATACCTTCCCTGGGAGAGTCCTGGACCGACCCACTACATGCAGGCTTGCCTGTTCTTGTATACATTGGGTCGATTACATTGTATACAAATCCTGTGAATAATCCTGCAGGTAGCATCCGCATGCAGGCATTTCTGTGCTGAAAACATGTTTGTATGTGTATGTCTGTCTGTCTGTCTGTCTCTCTGTCTGTCTGTCTCTCTGTCTGTCTGTCTCTGTCTGTCTGTCTGTCTGTCTGTCTGTCTGTCTCTCTGCCTCTGTCCGTCCGTCTGTCTGTGGTTGTTTCCTCTCGCAGAGGGTGTTGTTCCTCCTCCACCATCTCCCACACGTAAGTAAAGCGTTACACGTGCACTCTGTTCGCGCTTGGTAACAGACACCCGTCACGAGCACATCTCCAACTGTTCTGCTGTGCAGTAGTTTGCAATGCCTATCGCCATTGTTTATTCGCAGCCTGTTTTTGTCAGCTGCGAAGATGTTGGCATGACTAATCTTATCCTGAATACATGTACTTGGTTGGTGAGCTAAGGAAAATATTAATTGGAAACATAGAAAATGATGGGGCGCAAGTTATGCGTTAGTTATGCGTAAGAACAATCTGGTTTAGTCGGTGGACTCTAAAGCATAACTTGTGCCCCACCGTTTCCCATGTTTCCGTTTAATCTTATCGTGAATGCTTGATTGAGCCAGGGCGGAGAGCTCAGAGCAGCTTGCCTTGGTGCGGAGGATTCTGTTTGTTTTCACCGGCGTCCCACTGGCAATCGGGTGATCGGATCATTGCTTCGCTGATAAATTCGGGTTCAGCAGTACAGTGTCGCTGCAAAACGGTATCGGCAGGGTGAGCGGAATTAGTCTCTCCAAGGCGAGTGTTCTGCATGGTAGCATACCTTGTGAGTTCCTTTTGGGGACAGGGAAGAAGGCATTTTATTTACTTGTACTGTGCGTGTGTGTTGTGCTTGTGTGCTGTGTATGCATGCGTGTGTGTGTGCTGTGTATGCATGCGCGATGCTGTTATTCTCCTTCTTCCTCTTCATCACCGTTTGTTCGGTTCGTTTGAATAGCCACGCCGATTTCAAGTAAGTCGTGAGATCAGGAAGCGTCTGCTTACACGGTCATGTGTTTGGGTTTTTACAGCTATGCTATTCTATCTGCTTGTCTGTCTTTCTGCTTGTCTGTCTGTCTGTTTGTTTGTGTATCCGTGCCGGCCATGATCTCTGTATGATGCCTGCAGTAGGGCACTGTGTTTGATCACACATATAAACCCATGCGTAAAGACACGCTCACGCATTCACGCGCCCACGGT